ACGGATCAATACTGCAGTGAGATACCACTTTACACCCATTAGATGGCTACAATCAAAAAAAAAAAAAGAACACAACAAATATGTTGAGGACATCAGGAAATTAGAATCCTTACGCGCTATTGGTGGGAATATAAAATGGTGCAGCTGCTATGGAAAACAGTTTAAGAGTTCCTTGAAAACTTAAAAATAGAATTAGTCTATGACCCAGCAATTCCATTTCTGGGTATATCTAAAAGAAGTGAAAGTGGGACTTGAAAGACATTTGTAGATTCATTTTGTACAGAAGTATTACTTATAATGGCCAAAAGGTGGAAGCAAACCAAGCATCCATCAATAAATGAATGCATAAACAAAATGTGCTACATATATAAAATGGACTATTATTGAGCCTTAAAGAGGCAGGACATTCTGACACATGCTACAACACGGATAACTCTGAAGATGTTATGCTAAGTGATATACACCAGTCACAAAAGTACAAATACTGTCTAATTCCACTTACGAGAGGTATCTAAAGCAGTCAAATTCATAAAAAATAGAATGGTGGTTTCCAGGGGCTGGGGGTGGCAGGGGCGGGGAATGGAGAGTTATTGTTTAATAAATATGGAGTTTCAGTTTTACAAGGTAAAAAAGTTCTGGTGATAGATTGGTTCCACAACAATATGAATGTACTTAATGCCACTGAACTATATACTTAAAAATGGTTAATGTGGTAAATTTCATGTGTATTTTACTACAATTAAGAGTTTTTAGTTGGGCACAGTGGCTCACGCTTGTAATCCCAACACTTTGGGAGGCTGAGGAGGGCAGCTCACCTGAGGTTGAGAGTTTGAGACCAGCCTGACCAACATGGTGAAACCCGGTTTCTACTAAAAATATAAAATTAGCTGGGCATGGTCACAGGTGCCTATAATCCCAGCTACTCGGGAGGCTGAGGCAAGAGAATTGCTTGAACGCAGGAGGAGGAGGTTATGGAGAGCCGAGATTGTGCCATTGCACTCCAGCCTGGGTAACAAGAGTAAAAATCATCAAAAAAAAAAATTTTTTTTTCAAAGGAGTAATTTACCCATCTTCCTAATATTTTTATCAATTTTCTTTGATCACTGACCATGTAGGCCACAAATACAGCATATAACCTAAGAAACTTTGACATAACATTCTTCTAAGAGGCATTCTGTGATATAATTATAACTTCTTTTGAAACTGAAAACTAAAAAAGCCACATGAGCACTAATCATTCCTTCCTCTATGGTCATTACTTCATCTAATAATTTAACATGAATATAGTTTGACCCATCAGAGATGAAATTCTTACACTCATCAAAATATTCCTCCATAATCCTGAGAGAATGTAATAAAAAATGTACCATTCTAAAAGCTGCTCTATAATGTCATCAAACTATAATACAGAGTATTGGTGATGCTCACAAATGGGCAACTTCTTTAGCAGGTAATGAAACAAGTCCAGAACCAAACATTCTGTAATCTGTTTGAATCAACATGACAGTGTCATCATCACCCACTTACATTGAATTCAAATCCAAGTATCTCAAAATACTTGGAATGAATTGGCAAAATTCATGCACAGATCTACTGCAGTGAGGCAAAGAGGGTTTGGAATGAATGAACAGGAGTAAATGTCCTTGGAGGGAGAAAAACACACAACAGGTTTCTCAGCACTGTTGGGTCTACCTAGGTCTTTCTAAAATAGTGCTTCCACTGTCTGAGACAGTTTCAGTTTCAAAATGCAAAAAGGAAAAAAAATAATGCCACAGGGAACCTATGAGCCTAGCCATTTCTTTTTTTCTTGGAGACGGCATCACCCAAGTTGGAGTACAGCTGTGCAATCTTGGCTCACTGCAACCTCTGTCTCCTGGGTTCAAGTGATTTTCCTGCCTCAGCCTCCCATGTAGCTGGGATTACAGGTGCGTGCCACCAGGCCCCCCTAATTTTTTTTTTATTTTTTGAGATGGAGTCCCGCTCTGTCGCCTAGGCCAGAGTGCAGTGGCACAATCTCAGCTCACTGCAACCACCGCCTCCTGAGATCAAGCAATTCTCCTGCCTCAGCCTCCCGAGTAGCTGGGATTACAGGCGACTGCTACCACGCCCAGCTAATTTTTGTATTTTTAGTAGAGATGAGGTTTTGCCATGTTGGCCAGGCTGGTCTCAAATTCCTGACCTCAGGTGATCAGCCTGCCTTGGCCTCCCAAAATGCTGGGATTATAGGTGTGAGCCACTTCACCTAGCTGAGCCTAGCCTTTCTGCATAGTTTGCTACTATGCTAAATTCAAGTTATCCACATATTGCACTACCAATAAAAAGACCATAAAGACAAAACTGTTTGCATTTATGAATGAATCATACAGTTTTCCATTACATTTACTCAGTGAGAAAACTAGCTCAATTTGATTAACTAGATCAAATAGAAGTCCGAACAACCCTGTGTGACAACCAGAGTATCATGCTCCTATCAAGTTGCCTGGACAATTCACCATCATTCTATAATTCAACAGCCTTTTAAATATGTATATTCTCTGACCAGGCATTTCCATGTCTAGTTATTTATACTAAGGAAACGGTTGAAGACGTATGTAAAATAAATTTCAGTGAATGAAAAAAAATTATAAACATTCTTAGTGACCAAAGTTAGGTTACTTAAATTAAGCCATACAATTATATGCCATGTAGACATTAAAAATATTTTATATAGAAGACATTAACACTGTGTAAAGTACATTAAAAAACAGAAATATGAACCCATTTCATTATTTATCTAGTGTGCTTTTGTATATACATGTGCATAATACACACATATGCAAATGTATAAATGCACACGCCTGAGAACAAGATACACAGGGACATCCGCAAAAGTATGTGCCAGTATGATCAGGGGCTCATGAAACTACACATGCATGTACCAAGATATGTCTGTATATGCATATGTGGGTACATAAGAGAATACATACCCCTGTGTATATAACTGCTAATGCATACACCTATATTTGGACTGTGAGCCTGTGTTTTAAGTAGGTGAGTGTGTGTATATCCTTGTAATCACTACTTAGCAGCTTGTGACCTTGAGCAAGTTACTGAGCCACTTTGAGTCTTTGACAATGAGAACAAACCCTAGTTCATAAGGGTTTTGTATGGATTAAATGAAAAAATGGATGTAAATTACTTAGTACTATGACTGTTGCATAAAAAAATCAATATTAGCTTTCCTTCATTCCTTATCTATAGACATGTATACTGATCTACAACTATGTATATTTACATAGCTATAAACTTACGAGAATGTACACTAAAATATTACCTTTGGTGATCTACTTGGTTTTTGTTTAGGGAGGGTTTTACAGTTTTTTGGCTTTCATCTTTTACAATTTTTCTCAGAAGATTTTTTTCGTTTTTTGACACTTCAATTCTAATAATTTAAAAATATTAAATGCCACAATAAGGACTACATGATTTTGATACTCCTGCAAATTTTCTGTATTCTAGCTGTATATCAGCATTACCTAATAGCTCAAGAAGATGGCAGTACAAAGAAAAACCACAGCTCTTTTGCTTGTTAGCCTTATCCAAGTCAGGATGAAAAGGATGAAATCAGATCTCAGCATACAGTAGGGGTGATATGCAAACACGGGAGGTTTGCAAACACTGTGGTGACAGTTAAGTGACATCTGTTATTCCCATTTTATTAAAGCAGTAAGGAACCCACAGGCTGCCCAAGGTCATACAAAAAAAGCATGTGCTAGATCCATGTGCTCTGAAGAGACCTAAAGATTAACTGCATTGCCACAATTTGGGATGTGTTTATGAAACCAAGAAGCGAAATTCTTAACTAGTCATTTTGGGAGTCCAAGCCTGAGCGGGGGCGGATTGCAACACATGGTTGATGATAGCAAAACAAACCCGGCTGCACCAGGGTTAATCTACGTTTTAATCGTACTGGCTTTCCTTATTTCTAAAATACAAAATAGTAGATAGTCTAAGATAGAGCATTTTATTTCATAAGACCAGGATTGACATTTGTATGCACCGAAAGCATTTGAAACATGACAAACACAGGCCGTTATTTGCGGTTCCAATCAACATCCGTTTACCATCTGGCTCAATTCCCACAATTACGATGTTTGTTACATTAATAAGACTTCTAAAAGCCATGCAGAAGGTCTCTAAATTTCCTGGGGGAACTAAGCTACAGACGGGGAGTGAAACAAGCAGCTCTTTTCCCTGGGGGCCTCAATTTATAAATCAGACCCGAGAAAATGATCCAATTATTCCCTATACATTTCCTCCCCAGCGATGCCATCGAATCTCTTAAAACGTCATTTCCAAGCATTTAAAATACACCCGGCACACGCCCTGCAGACTTCACCGTCGCTCTCCCTTTCGGGGCATCGCCACAGCCAAACGTCGCCTCTTCCAAAATCTACTGCAAACTGCGGGCTTGTCTCTCGCTTCGTATTTTGACTTTTGTCTTAAAGCGGAGGCGAGGGGGATGGGTTTCGACAAACTAGGTTCCGAAACCCTGAGCAATAGCATCGCGCTGTGGGGAGCTATCGGCAGCAGCAGAGATTTTAATCTTTTCTCTCCACCCAGTTTCCGTTTTATGCCTTTTTTTTTTTTTTCTTTTTTTCCAATGACATCAAACCAAAGGTGGAAACATGAAAATCGAATGCCTCAGATCGATGCCGCCTTTAGGTCGCAGGTTCTGACTCAGGGACCCGCCCGCCCTGGGAAATGCGGGAAAGCAGGCCGAGAGGAAGGCTTTCCGCCGCCCGAGTCCCACCCGGGGTCGCGCAGGGGCAGGCCGGGCCCGCGGCGGCCGCGAATCCGAGCCCGGGGCCCGGCCCGCCCGTCCAGGCCCAACGCGGCCTGACAAGCCCCGGCGCCGAGTTGGCCGCGGGCGGGCCACCGAGGCCTGAGGCGGCCAGCGGAGAGGGCAGAGCCCGGGGGCCGGAGTCCGGGACGCGGGGCGGGAGTCGGGCGCCGCTTACCTGCTGGTACCTGCTGCCGCAGGCCGGCTCGACCGCCGCCAGCGCCGCCAACGCCAACGCCATGGCGCAGCGGGCAGCCGGGAAGGAGAGCGAGAGAGCGAGCTAGTCGAAGGCGCGCGGCCGCTGAGGCCTGGGAGCGCTGGGAGGCCGGGGTGGGGTCGCGCCTTTGGGTGGGTCTCGATGGCCGCCGCCGCTCCCGAGCGAGACGCTCTCCTCAGGCCGTCAGCGCCGCCGCCTCCGAGGCTCCGACGCTGCCCCTGGGAAGAGGCGGGGACGACGACGGCGACGCTGCGCCGCCGCCCCGCCCCCGCCTCGCGCCGCCCTGCCCGGCCGGCCCAGCCCTGCGCCGCGGCCCCGCGGTGCCTCCGACGACGTGAGCGTACGAGGCTCAAGTGTTGTGTTCGATTCCACCGAAAACTAGCTGCTAACAGGGCAGCCCAAAGAGAGGGCGACGCTGCTGATGACAGCTCGTGCCAAGCCCTGGGCTTCACCGACGTGCCCTTATCCAGTTTCAACACGACCGCCCCGACGCAGGGACCACAGCCCCATTCTCTAGGTGTTGGCCACCAGAGAGGTTGACAGTCTTCACAGCAGTGACCCGATCCCTGGTGTCTGGCCGCAGAATCGTGGTTCTTAGTCACTCCCTTCTTTTATCTGCCGTACTCATAAACCAGGGGCCAGCCAGCAACAGGGAGGGGCCCAAATCTGGTCTGTCACCGTGACTGTGAAAAGTATATGAAATTCAAGTTTCGGTGTCCATAAATAAAGTTTTATTGGAACACAGCAGCACGCATTTGTTTAATACGGCCTGCAAACCCTAGAATACTTGCTATCTGACATTTTCCATGAGAAGTTTGCTAACCCTAAATCCTTGAGAACTCCTTGGATCTCAAATCCTACTTAGGATGGATGATTATAATAGCACCCTCGTGTTTATACAGTCCGTTAGTATTTTAACAGTCTCATCTGAGAATACAGAAACAGTATTTTCTGAAAAAGCTCCCTGAGCAGGTGACGTGGAAGTCAACACTTGAAGGGGTTGGCCATGCTAAAAGCTTTCCCGGCCACAGGGTGCAAAGGTGGGTCCAAAGAGAGATTGCCTTGCGGAAGAACAGAAAAGAGGCTGCCGTTGCTGCCAAGTAGGATATACAATTATCAGCGTTTCACGGATGAGGAAGTTACGCCCAAAAAAGTTAAATATCTTACCCAATGACACAGAGCAAAGAAGTTAACTATCTCACCCAATGACACTAAGGGGTGAAGCTGGAATGCAACTCCATTAAGCCAACTTTCTTTACCAGTCTTGCGCAACTAGATTATAAGCTCTGTGAAGACAAGATTATTTGTCTTTCAAATCTTATTACTTTCCAATCGCATCTAGCACAGTATAGCTATATAGCAGGCTTGCAAGGTCTGTTTCTTTCACACCCAGCCATCTGCAATTGCTTCTACCCATACGCCCTTCAGAGGAAAAAAAATCATCCATCTCTGAAGCTTGTTGCAATTCCCATTTCTTCTTCATTGTCTTTCCAAGTTGGCAGTGTTGAGGTTGTATTAATATGATTATTGTCTTAGCTTCTAATTTTGAAGTTTAGTTAACTATGTATTTTAAAAGAGGGTTGTGTTTTCGAACACACTGTGAGGTTTCTGCATATATGAGAAAATTATAATCAATAAAAACTCTAGATGTGTACCATCTTCACTTTGAGTTCTCTCTCAGTATCCAAACTCCTCCATATCTGTCACTATTTCCAAGTATTAGTCTCCCATATTAACATGCTGGGAGAGTGAACAAATCCAGCAACATTCCAAGCTCTGAAGTCTATTTAGAGGCTCCTTACTCTGTCCCTCGGTTGTTGTCTTCAATCCAGAAAAACAACCTTTAAATGTCATCAGGTACCGTGAATCAAACATAATGTCCTGCCATGTAATCTTGTATAAAGGGTGCAAAAATCTAATTTGAAATCTTAAAAAAATCTCAGCAGTGGAAAGTAGAAATCCAGACTTCTTTGTTCAGATTGTCTAAATTGACGTATAAGAAAGAATAAAAAAGAATTTGTCGGCTGGGCACAATGGCTCACAGCTGTAATCCCAGCACTTTGAGAGGCTGGGACTTGTGGGTCACTTGAACCCAGGAGTTTGAGACCAACCTGGGCAACATAGTGAGATGCAATCTCTTAAAAAAAAAAAAAAAGAATTTGTTGACCTGTCACATATGACTATTATATCAACAACTGCAGCCTTCATGCGTGTCTGCAGTGCTGTGGCTTTTGTGAAAAAGATGTTGCCACCCTCCTATTTCCTAAATTACCTTCTCCCTCAATATCTGTATACTCACTGCATGTGGACACAAATATTTATCATAATATAAATAACAGGCCTTATCACTGAAATATTTTCCATTAAAAGTAAAAGAAAATTGATCTCCAAATTCCAATCTCCTTTTCCTATGTCCTCAACCAAAATGTTCTATAGTCACGGTAAAGATTTTGGTCTTTTTTTTTTGAGTTCCCCAAAGCCTCTAATAAGTAAATTGAGATTATTTGCCTTGATTCGATGGGTGGATACATTGGAGAATTGAGAAATTGAGTCACTGCTATATTAGGCCTCCAGCTGGCAGGCAAATTGTACAATGAAGGGGGAAAACTGAATTTCTGGCTTACAGATCCATGCCTGGTACAAGCCAAGCAGACAGAGAAGATAATCCAAGACCATAAAAATTGTGCTCTTTGGCTTCATCTCGAGATGTTGTCAAGAGAGTTTCCACAAAGAAAGTTATTAATTTCAGATTGCTGCACTTAGAAACTTATTTCCCCACAGAATAACAGTAATACTTTCCATGTGCAGTACTTTGTATATAAATGGCTGACTCTGAATAATCCCTCCTGAGAGAGAAGAGAAACATGGACAAGTATGAGCATAGCTCATGTCCCTATCCCTTTCCCCACACAATACAGATACAAATCTCCAGGATAAATGTGGCCTTCTGCCTTTCATAGCCACATGAGGCTTGACCTAGGTAGTGCAGAGCTCAGTAAGTAACCAAAAAGGTTTTGTTAAATGTGTTAAATTTAGACTAAAGCGTCATTAGTCCAATATCTCACTTGAAGCCCTGAACTTCTCCAGTTAATCTTTAAAAGGCTTCAATTAAACTATGAAGTTTTATTTCTACTGACTTACTACTTCTTTTAATTCTCACTACATTACCATAAGATCCATTAAGAGCAAATGGTAGTATCTTCATATTACAAATAAAGAAATTATCCACTGAGGATTACTACTGTTACAGAGCACTTCCAGAATCTTGGACCCGATGGTACATCATCTGCTTAATCTTCATAACAAACCCATTCTGCTGATGAAGAGACTTAGGAAATTTACATAACCTACTCAGCTTTGTGAGTGGTGGATTCGCAACACAAACTGAGATTTGTCAGGCTCTAAAACGTGAGTGCTGCTTTGGGTATGGAGAGAAATACAGGACATAAAAAGACAAGAGATAGAATTTCTCCATCATGGAGTCTTCATGATGAAATAGAGATGATATTCAAGACATTTTTAAATATAAAACTTACAAGTTAATTGCAACCATGTTGAGCTACATTAACTAATGCTGAGAGATACTGAAGAGAATTACGTTGCAAGGTGGGCTACTCAGGTAAGGATTGGGAAGAAAGGGTTTTGAATGAGAAAAGGGCTTTGCTGGCTGGGTGCAGTGGCTCACGCCTGTAACCCCAGTAGTTTCGGAGGCCGAGGTAAGCAAATCACCTGAGGTTGGGAGTTCAAGACCAGCCTGACCAACATGGGGAAACCCCATCTCTACTAAAAATACAAAATTAGCCAGGCGTGGTGGGGCATGACTGTAATCCCAGCCACTTGGGTGGCTGAGGCAGGAGAATCACTTGAACCCAAGAGGTGGTGAGCAGAGATCGAGCCACTGCACTCCAGCCTGGGCAACAAGAGCGAAACTCTATCTCAAAAAAAAAAAAAAAAAAAAAAAAAAAAGAAAGAAAGAAAGAAAAAGAAAAAAAAAAAAAAGGAGAGAAGGGCTTTGCTGTCATGGGAAGAGAGAAAGTTGTCAACCTAAAATAACAATAGAGAGATTCTCCAAAGACAATGAATTTATTTGAGAACCCACAAGATTGCAATCTGGGATATGTGTGCAATTCAGGAAGGCATAGATGTACTCAGAGAGCAAAAGGAAGGCAAAGGTTTTTAAAGGCAAAATGAGGAAGATTACATAAGTTGTTTTGGAAACTATTATCCTTGGCTACAAGGATCAATAACAAGGGTGGCATCACTCCAAGGCTAAACAGACAGTTGCTAGGCAGACATCCTTGTAGTATTCTGTGTGTGAGGTTGTGGTGGCCTTTGTTCAAGGTTGTGGTTTTCAGTAAGTCTAATCTAAAAATAGATTTTAAAATAGACATGTGTGCATCAGAGCCCCTCCTTTATGGCCTCCCGACTCCTATTTGTATGGCATAAGTGACTCCATTTTGATTCTTACAGCTTTTACAAAGTCATGACTATAATAGTACAAAAGCTTAGAACTTAGCTTAGAACACAGCCTTAGAGCTTAGCAAACTTTTATGTTAAGGAATAGATAGAAATGTTTCAGGCTTTGTGGACCATAGCTCTGTTGCAGCTACTCCACTTTGCCATTGTGATTGTGAGCACAGCCATAAACAATACCAAATTGGCATGACTGTGTTCCAATAAAACCTTACTTATGATCATTGAAATGCGAATTGCATATGATTTTTTATTTTTATTTATTTATTTTTGAGATGGAGTCTCACTCTGTTGCCCAGGCTGGAGTGCATTGGCATGTTCTTGGCTCACTGCAACCTTCGCCTCCTGGGTTCAAGCAATTCTCCTGTCCCAGCCTCCCTTGTAGCTGGGATTACAGCCACCTGCCACCATGCCCAGCTAATTTTTGTATTTTTAGTAGAGATGAGGTTTCACTATGTTGGCCAGGTTGATCTTGAACTCCTGACTTCAGGCAATCTGCCCATCTCAGCCTCCCAAAGTGCTGGGATTACAGGCGTCAGCCACTGCACCCAGCCTCAACATACGATTTTTATGTGTCGTGAACTATTCTTCTTCTTTTGATTTTTTTTTCCAACTAGTTCAAAATGTAAAAACTGGTCAAGTACAGTGGCTCATGCCTGTAATCCCAGCACTTTGAGAGGCTGATAACCAGAGGATCACTTGAGGCCAAAAGATTGAGACCAGCCTAGGCAATATAGCAAAACTCTGTCTTTAAAAAAAAAAAAAAAAAAAAAAAAAAAGCCG